ATAGTATAATAGTATTGATATTGGTATAATTAGAAAAAATCGATTTGAATCGTTATTTGATATTAATCACTACTAATTAGATTTTTTTTTAACTGATATATATCGATATATATTGATTACTAACTAACTCGATAGTCATCATCAGGGAGTATTTATATCGATTACTATCCAATAACCAATTAATATCGATAGTAATCCCCTTGCAAATTTTGGTGATATTTAGAGAATATACTAAGATATAAAAGTATGAAAAACTATTATAAAGGGCTAGCTAGTATTAAATACAAATATATCATTTTTTAATACTGGAGATTTAATTACTTCTGACCACATATCTGTTAAGTTGATATAATAATTTACTATTAAGTTATATATAATATTATTAAGTAGTTTTAATAAATTATTATTATTGGATAAATTTGGCTAACAATGTCTTTTTCTGTCTATTTAATAATATTATTGTCAATACAAAGAAGTGAAATCAATCAAGGGTAATTAAAAATTATAATCTTCACTCATCTTTGTTCTATAAGTAACTATTCCTATATATTAAATAAACTTTTTATTAAATTATTTATATTTGTCTTGGCAAGAAATACCATTCAGTAATTTGCAAAACTTTTAAACTACTATTTGCAAGATTGGCAAGTTTATTTATTAAAGAATCTTGAGAAGCCTGTTATATTCAAAAAAGGTTTTTTTAGCAATGTTCAATTAAAAAAGGTAAAAAAAAAAAATCAAACCTTATCTATCAAAAATAAGCTTTTGCTTAAGTACTCATCATCTTGTACACTTTGTGAAGCATCATCTTGTACACTTTGCAAAGCATTATCTTGTACACTTTGTGAATTATTATTTTATACACTTTGGAAATTGTCATCTTGTATACTTTGTGAATTGTCATCTTGTAAACTTTGAGTATTATCTTGTAAATTTAGTTTTATTTATTTAAAGCTTTTATCATAATTTTAAATATTCTATATATAATTTATTTTATAATATCAATTAAAAACTTTAACTAAACTTACTATTATTACCTTATTTTTTAATATTTTGAGTATCGTTTCTAAGAATTATCATTCTTTAAACTATAATAATTTACTTAGTATTGATTTATAATATCATTTTTCTTGAATTCATCTTTTTTAAATAAAAACCTTTATATTAATAATTTTCATAAATAAATGAAATTTATAATACACATAATAGCAAAGCTCTAAGATAAAAAGATATAGAGAATTACTAACTATAGTTTATCTTAAATTCATGTTCAAAGTTTGTGGCTTTATCATTTTGTTTTATATTTCTGAATTAATTTTAGCTGATTTTTAAAATGGCATATCATATTCACTTTATCTAACTTATTGAAATTTTTTTTTAAAGTTTTAAAATATTTAACTGTATTCCATTAATTAAGGTTTATATTTATAAAGTATTCAAATCCATTTTTAGTTACAATGTCTAATAACATTCTTATTCTATTAGTCAAAGATCTAAAGATTATAGTAATTAGTTATGATAGGACCCTGAATATCTCTGATATAGATCATATTTTTTTTTAGCAAATTGCAGAAAATTTGAATAGAAGTTCAAATTTAAGTTTTAGCAAATTGATGTTAATTTTAAAATAAGTTATAATTGACTATTTCGTTGAATTATATTAATTTTATACATGTTATATTTTATTTTTACCAAATTATCTGCATTTTGGAAGAATTATACTCAAGAATAAGCTACTTTTTTTTAAACTAATATGATTTTTCAAAATTCAAAAGAAGAAGTTTAATTTTGGATTTTTTAATCAAAAATCCAAAATTATGCATTTTTTCTTGAATTTTAAAGAAATATAAAATTAAATATACTATTATAGTGTGTTTTTATATACTGAACAAGTTTACTTAGAACATAAAGTTAGAATTAATTAGTAAACTTTTGAGAATATTAGTATTTTTAGTATTTTTATTAATAAATTTATATAAAATATTAAAATTCTCAAAATTTTACTAATTGATTATAACTTTCTGCTCTAATAAACCTTGTTTAGCACACAAATTTACATTATTTCAGCATATTTAATTTTATATTTCATAAATATTTAAGAGACGATGCTTAATTTTAAATATTTTGATCAAAATATCTAAAATTAAGCATCTTTTCTTAAATTTTTATACAATATAAAATTAAATATACTGGTATAATATATTTTTTGTATGTTGAACAAAGTTTATTAGAGCATAAAGTTAGAATCGATTAGTAAAATTTTGAGAATTTT